GGCTGTTTTCATTCATTTTCCAACAGTTGGATCATTAATAGAAGGAGGGACAATCATATATTCAAAATATACACTTGAACTCTTGAAGAAAAGATATGAACATTTTATATATCCTTCCACATATTCCTACTTTGTTATTACATAGATTAGTTTAGTTCCTGTCAGGCAATCGTTGTTAGCGCGGCTGCTTTTGTTCCACCCGTCGGAGCTTGAACATTTTCGTCTCTCGCTGCAAAGTACCTCCCGCATCCATCTTCTTCGTGCTACCGTCATCATTTCTGTAGGAATGCGCCGAAATCGTACTTGACTTGGCATGAGTAGCCCGACATCTGTTGAGCTCATTTTTTGGAGTCAACAGATATAATAACGAAACATGAAGTCACCAAACAATTATGTACCACTTAACAAAATTATACTTTGCAATTATACGTAACAAATCAAGTATAAAGTTTATCTTATTGGTTCTCCTATCTTGACTCAAAAGATATACACACATCTCCTACTTTTCAACAAACATTCACCCTTAACATGACACACCATCAGGATAGTATTTGAAATCTTGGCAAACAAGTACTGTAGAATGGGAACAAGTAATTGGCAGAGAGTGAAAATGTACAGCGTGGATCGAGTGGATGACATGAAGTTAGCCGATTTACCAGGAAATCGATGTTAAAGTCAAGGAAAAGAAAGGGAATGAGGTCTTTTTTAGGATCAAGAGAACATCTGCAAAAGATTCTTATGAAAACTTATTGTAGTCTACAAACATGGATACCAATGCCATTGCATTCCCTAATTGGAAACTATCACAAATGTGTTTGGGTTTGACAACGCCTATAACATCAACTAACCCTTTATTCTTTAAAAATTGCAAGGCAAAAAACTGGGGATGTCCTAAGCGTTGATGCCAAATGTTTGTGGCGTCGGATTTGAATCAATGAGAAAAGTAGAGCTCGGTGAATTAGGAAGAACATAAAGATCACCCTTGCGCCTCTCTGTGATCACTGGCTATCCTATTTGTTGTTCCTTAACATAAAAGTCAACATTAGTGAATTCACAACTAACTGGAGATTGGGTTGTTAGTTGACTTACAGAGAGCAAGTTTCTTTTCAAGGGAGGAACTAGCAAGATATCATGAAGAGCTAAGGTTTTATTTTTTTGCTTAATGCTAGAATCTCCAATACAAAGAATTGGTAGAGAATATTAGTTGAAATATATTACAAATTTAGTGACCAACTTGTAATCTTTATTATTGATAGGGACTAGAGTGCAAACTTTTTATTCTTGTATATATTTCTTTGTTTACATTAAATAAAATACATAATTTTTCCCCCCAAAATCGCGACTTGGTAGTAGAGAACAGTAACCCTAGGTGCCCGCGACCTCCTTCCCGTTACCCGGACGCCGCGACGGCGCTACCGTATTTGCACAGTACCGACGACCCTTTGGCGCTTGGTTATTCCATTTTTTTGGACCGTTGCAGGTTACCCAGCCTGATTTCGGTCCTGTTTCCTATTACCCAAATGCAGAGGACGTCGCCTCTGCATTTGAACAGCTCCGGCGCTGACGTCGCGACTGTTCCGTCGCCGTTTTGTGTTTTTTTCTGCCTTCCAGTTGCAGCTTCCGTTTTCCCCGGGTGTTTTCTCGGCCATTTCAGTTTTCTTCTTAGTTTTGCTTGACCAATCTCTGTCAATAGCTCCGGCCACTTCCGTTTTTGCTTTTAATGACATGTTCAGATTTAGAGGCTACTGAAAGCATTTCAGGAAGCATGTGTTTTCTCTGTGGTCGAAGAGCTTACTGAACATCTAGCTCGATGGATTTTTGGACAATCGAAGGGAGAATCTCAAGTTGTCGAATCCCAAATTGAAAATCGAGTTGAGGATGATAGATCACCTCGCTTGTTCCAAAAGTGTTATACAAGGAGAAACTCAGCCAATGCTTGCCCTCCTACATTACCCTCTTCAGATCCTAACACCCCTCCGATTGATACTACAGTGCC